GGGGGGGGGGGGGAAACGCGGCCGGGTCATGTAAACACGCGTACCCGAACACGTGCTCAAGCGTCACGCCATAACACTTTCAACCGTCGAGACGAGTATATCGGGAGCTGCCGCGTTATTTTCTAAATTATTTCGAGCCAATTTTTAATACTACATTTTGACTTCGCCACAATTAAGACAATAATTAACACGAATTGAGACGCGTACTTATCACGCGAGCAGGTATTGTGGGCTTTACTGCAGCGGGTAATTACCGCGTTTCATTTATTTTTTTACTTGTTAGAGAAACGCCGGAGGATCCGGCTCGGGCCAAGCGGGGTTAGCTCGAAGGTTAGTTTCCCTAATTAGCATTTGTAATTATAAATCCAATAAGATTGATAATTCTCTTGCTTGAAATCGAGATAATTTGAATCGAGTAAAAAATCGTGTTAAATTGCATATTACATGCAGGGAGAATTTTTTCCTGAGTAACATCACCACTTGAAAAATGCTGATTTGTTCTAATTAAAAGATTTATTTGAAACGTCGAGAAAAAGGAAAGTGTGGAATATTCTAAGTGTGAATGCAGCCCGAAAAATTCTCCCAGCGTGAAAAATATCGCACGTTTATTTTTTTTTTTAATATTGCAACATATTCTTTACTCAAACCAACATCAATGCACGAATCTAATCGATAAACATTTTTCTGTTCCAGAAACGAAAACAAAACGTGGCTGCCCTGATCGGCGGATCGGTGAGTCAAACAAGAAAAAAAAATTGATAATAAAAAGACAAAAAGTCTTTCCATGTAATGCATGTTTATGAATCAATGCGATTTACTTTGCTGTGGTGTGATGTGTGTATGTGCCGTCCAATAAAGCACACTGTTCAAAACAATTAAAAGATCGCTTTTACAAATAATAATATTGCATAATAATGCATTTTTATACATTTGGCAAATTCTAAAATATTTTTCTCCCAATGTATATATATATTTATTAATTGTTTGATTAATTAGATTATTGATTGGTCAATGATTTTTGTTGAAAAAAATTTTTATTAATTAAACTCTAACATTGTCTGGCAGATGCCATTAAAGTATCGAATATACGTTCTAAATTCAAAATTTTGTAAATTATTCAGTTTTATTGAATGCGATCTTCCAGGTGTCTCCGCGCCAACGCGGAGATTGCGCCACAGAAAATGCGCACTCATATCACCCGCCTCGATAGATCTTCCGTCGGTCGTTAATTTTCTCAGTTTTCTCTCTCGTGTAAGCTTGCATCGCGATTGCATTTCGTAAAGTACAGAGTTCGTTATTAAATAAAATTCGAGTACGGCGTCTGCGCGAAGTGATCTAATGTGATTACTTAAACTGTTCGCGAAATTAATTTCACGATCGTCGGAAAATTTTCAGGTTTCAATTTTTCACTTAGAATTTCCTAACGCGGAAACGATAGATGATACTAGCGAGCGTTGATCCCTCGCGAAAAAGGCGATGTATACAAATCTTATGCGAGCAGTTGTTTGTTTATTTACATGGCGCGTGACGAGTTCCATCGAACAAAACAGGCGCCTCACGCGGTAATATTTTTTTTCGCGTGAATTTTGCATAGAATCTTTATCTTTATCATCGCAATTTTCATAGTTCTCGAAAATTTTCATAGTTTTCATTCACGCTCACGTTTGCGATTATATGTTTTGATAGATTTGCAAATTTAACCGGTTCGTATTTGCGGAAGAGTCGAGAGCGAACTTTGCAGAAATACTGCAGAGCTGTTAGTCACAAAAATATTGCGGAATTGTCTTTGCAAAAATATTTCGGAGCTGTTATCTGCAAAAATATTGCGGAATTGTCTCCACAAAAATATTGCGGAGCTGTATTGCAGCCTACTACGCTGCACCATCGAAACGTTACATTAGGAATACTCTGTGTTGTACGTGAGAATCTCGCACAGATTACTTCGCCCACACATCGAAAGATTTCGCAAGATCGGCCTTCGATTCACGTCACGTGTTTTCTTCGCTCGCAGATTCCGTTTTTTTTTTCGCGTCGCGCGTGTATCAAAGCGATACACTTATAACTCGATCGGACCGTTGCTGAATTCGTCACACATATTCGTCGTTTATCCGAAAAGCCGACATTTCCTCGAAGACGCAGTTCGCGATATTTCATACGCAATTCACAATTCGGAGTGTATCCTCCAAGAGAAACGGGATTTTTCGTGAAACCTCCGTTAGATTACCGTAATCGGGAGTGAATTATAGGCGACG